AGGAATACCAAATACTATTAAATCTAAGTCTTGCTGTATCTCTGAAACTATGCACTGGAACATTAGCTGAAATTGTTCTTTGTTTAAGATTATTTTCTGATTTTATTATTTCATTCCCCAGTTAATTCAGCAGCTGGAATTCATTTACTCTGCCAGTCTGAATGGTTAAATAGCTGTTGCAGGTATTTTTAATGATGTGATGTTCTTTGGTATTAATTGTCATTTCCTGATAATAATCCTACCTCATTTCTTACTACCATTTATACACTCCATTTAGGTCACTTTGTTTAATTAAAGTAAGTTCTTGGTGTTCATTACCATAAATAGTATTAAGTGGCTTTCTATTCTGAACCACACTGAGATCCTCTTCTGGTTTTTTTTATATTGTTGTTTTCCTCTCTAACAAATGTTTCTAGGAATTTTTAGAACAGTAACACATCCTTTGCAGAGGATGTGTATGGAAAAAAAGTTTCAAAAATAGATTCAACAGCTGTGACATCGTTTCTTTTCCATAACCTTTTTTTTTTTCCTGCTTTGAAAAGGGACTTGCATGGTTTGAGTTCTTGGGATTTTTAAAATTTTTTTTAGTCCTCCTTCAGGGGAGGAGTAATTCATTTTTTCCTCATTAATAGCTGTGCCTTCTCTGGAGATTCAGTTAATGTAACTTCTCCACAGAGGCACTTGCTCCTTCAAGCGTATTTGTAACAGTCTCTGCTTGAAGCCAGCTGTTCCTTTGATTCTTTTCCTTTCAACTGTGGAGAGTTTTCTTAACTTTTGTTGTGACTTCTCACTGGCAAACAATATTGTTGTACCATAAACAGTAGAGCCACCTGCTCTGAAATGTTACCCAAGGTAAGGCTGTGTGAACACTCACTGGGAAAACTATTGTTTAAACTTCGCTTTGATTTTTTTTTTTTTTTCCCTTGTTGCATTTTAAAATGAATTTTTTCCCCACTGATTATCCAAACAGTGGATCCTGTCATTTTACTAAGCACGTGCCAAAACAGAGCGAGTTTTCTGTTCTACCTGTATCTGCATGAAGCAGAATTGGAACTGGACAAGAACATTGGCTCAAACCTTTCTCCATCCCTCTAGCTGCAGTGGTAGGTTAATACCATCATCTCTGAAGTCCTTTTTTAAAAGTAGCTGGACTTGACTTACTGGACGCCAATAGCAAAGGTGAACTTTGTGCAAATTCACACAAAGAAAGGCTTAATTTAGTATTTCTGGAATTACCCTCCCCTTCCTTCCTCTCAGTCTCTTTTAAAGGAATTTTATTGAACAATGGGGGAAATTTTTCTAGAGGAGACTTAATGAGAAGGGGGTTAATGAGCCTGAGTCATCTTTTACAGCTGACAAATGTGTCCATTTAAGTAAGATGCTACTCATGGTTTAACCATTGTTCACTCCCAGTTTGTAAATGTCCGAGCAGGGTTGTGGTTTGGCATCCGAGACCTGCGACTGGATGTAACATTTCAGAATCATGACATTGGCTTTGTACGTGGGATTGTTTGGGCAGCTCATCCACGGCACCTCCACCTGAAGCACTGAAAGCTGCTATTGTTTTCTCGGAAAGACTTGTAAGACTGGACACTTTAACAGAATAAAAGTTTTAATTTTTAATTTGCTTTTTCCTTTTTTTATGTCTGCTTTCTTTTAAGTTTTCTGTATGCGAAGGCACTTGGCTTTTCACGATCTTGCTTTTTCAGAAGACAGATGTTAATAATTGCAGCTATTGTGTAGGATTATTTAGTTTCTTTTACTCATCGCATGAGTCCTTGTGGATTATGACATTCCTTTATGAATAAGGAAAAAGTAGATGTGCAGTGAAAGAGATGCTGCTCCGTGACAAGCCTGGACGGCCTTACAGATTTCACCGTGGCTTTAACAAATGGCTGATACAGTGTGTGTTGCCAAATAAAAGACTGTTGGAGTACAGTCTACACAGTCCTCTAGAAGCTCAGTTGGGTTTTCAAAATGCATGTTGTGCTCCCCTTCTCTGGGAAAGGGATGGGGACTGAAGTCAGTGGAGAAAACTGTCTGTTGCCATAGAAATTGTGTCTTCAGTCAACTACTGGTAACAAATTATTTCAGTGTGTTTCCCAGCTGTCTGCCTATTCCATGCACTACTTTTTCAACCTAAAATGCTGGCAGGTAGCGTCTTTCCTAATGGATTGTGTTCTTGATGTGTTACAGAGAATAGGCCTGTAACTTTTAAGACAGTTTGAGTTTCTGTGCAGCTCCTTTATTGCATACAAAGGTTATTTCTCTTGTGTCTTCCCTTCCCTCGCTTCCCTTTTCCCCAGACTGCTTGGCCGTGGGGACATTGGCCCTGTGTCAGTGACAGAGAATGTGAGCAGGCTGTGAAGCAGGTGAAAGGTGCTGCTCGTTTGCATTGATGAGTTTTAATGAAATGCTTGGCAGGACTGAACCAAGAAAGGAGAGGACAAAACACCCCTTGTCATCTGAGGCTGACTGGAACTGCAGCTCCTTTTTGTGAGGCTTTAGCAGCTCTTTGAATAGCTGAGCAAAAGGAAAGAGTGAAAGGTACCATCAAAGAAAACTGGTGCTTGTTGGATTTCTGCAGGGGGGATGAGCCTGAGGGTAAAGAACTGATCTGTCTTTTTTGGAAGAAAACTTCTAATCCTGATAATGCCAAATTTTCTACATACCTCACTGAAAGGATGTCATAGAGGCAGCTGGGAACTATATTGGTTTTAATCTGGTAAAATCCTCTAGCCCAACTGTACCATAAACTCTTTACCTTGCTCACTTTTGAAGAAAGTAACCATCATGTTTTTACTTGTTGATGGCAATGAGAATTCTCTCGATGGAAAATTACTGCATTTCTGACGCTTCTGATAACTTGAAAGAAATGGCTGCCAATACAGGGAAAACAAAAGTATTCAGGTATCTATGCCATTCTAAAGACTAATATACTATTTAATGCAATTTAAATACTTGTTATGGGTATCGTTGTTCCTGTGCTCCTTGTTTCTCATTAAATATCCTGTCGCTTGTTGCCGATTGTATCGAAGGCTTGAGGAGAGGATATAAGAGACGTAGCTGATATTTTACCTAATAACCCTGGCAGCTCTGACAGCAGCAGTTTTGGTGAGAGTGCTGAGCTGCTCAAACCGCCTCTGGAGAGCTGGGAAGCTGGCTTGGCTCCAGATGGTTTCAGTAGGAACTTGTATCGAGGAGGAAAAATCGTGCTAGTCGAAAAGGCGTTTGACACACTTGGGCTTTGTCGGCTGGTGGGTTGTCCATGTTCCAGATGTCCCTCGTGCCCCTGCCTTTCGTGCGGATGCGGGATGGGCTTTGGCAGCTCCCGACGGGGGTTGCCAGGAGTGTTCTTTTCCTGATGGTTCTGGCAGGAAAAAATGTTGTTTAGTAGTCTCTGAAAGAGCTCTCGGAAGGAGAGGCCATGTTCCAGACATCCCTCGTGCCCCTGCCTTTCGTGTGGATGCGGGATGGGCTTTGGCAGCTCCCGACGGGGGTTGCCAGGAGTGTTCTTTTCCTGATGGTTCTGGCAGGAGAAAATGTTGTTTAGTAGTCTCTGAAAGAGCTCTCGGAAGGAGAGGAAGGAAAAGAGGGTCATTTCCCAGCTTTGTCTGAGTACTTTCTACTTTCCTTATTTAAACATGATGGAAGAGAAGGTATTTACGAAGGTGACATCCTTCTCTTTGCCTTTTTGGGGGATTTTGTGGTGCGGGTGGTTTTCCTCTTGCTGAAAAGGTCTTTCTAAGCCTCAAAATAGGAACATATCTGGGATGGCAAAGAACTGGAGGACTCCTAAGGACAGACACAGATGAACTCTCCTGTCACCAAGATGGGTTGCCTCTCTTGATTTATGCAGTTGGTTACCTTCTGGTGCTCGCTGTGTTGTGTGCTGTGATCTGCTGTTTATGTTGCTCAAAACAATCCATCAAACAGGGAAGCTGTGGTTTACGGTCGTGCGTATGAGCTAAAGCAGCTTCTGAAGTCATCGTGTGTGCGTAAGGTGGGGAGTGGAGAAGATGACGTACTAAATTGCTGGGGAAAAAAAAAAAAACCATGACTGGGAATGAGATGTATGTGACATGATGAATGCCAGGGGTAGCGCAGAGAGGGACTGAGGAGTGGCCTTGGGAGTGTGTGTAGAAGGTGTATTTCTCCAGGATTGTATCCTCCTGGTGAGGTGAATCCTCATGGGATCGACTTAGAGGCAACAGGACCAGCAGGGTTTTTTTCCACTAGTTAAACATCTCCCTTAAAAAACCCATTTCAGCTCCATCGGTTGGTGAGAGTCTTTTAACAGGAAGAAGGAACTACTTGATTATTTTTTTGAGTCTTGCTGCTTTGAATGCTGACTGTTTCCCCTCTGTGTTTGTAGCCCAGTGACTAAAGTCTTTGGCAAAATTTAGCTTTTTGAACTACCAAATTCATATCCTCTTGTGTGCAGAGAAAAGCTTGAAAACAAGCTGTAAATGTGAAGAAAAAGATGTTTTTTCCAGTGAAGCACTGAATTCCCTTTTTATTAAAAAAAA